TAAATTATGACCGACAAATAATGCGATGATTTGAAAGCAACCAAAAAAATTTATTTTTTATCTAATTAGAACAAAAAATTTTTTCCGATTCATATTATCGCTATTGGTTATTTTTATTAGTTACCAACTAGATTAGGATAGTGTGCGGCGACAAAGTCGCCGCAAGTTATAGTTATTATACTGCTTTAGTTGTAATATATCCTTTATTAAGTTATCACTGTGACGAGCCGAAGGGTCCATCTGAAGTGCCGCGCTCGCATTTGTCCGAAAGGGCAGAATCTGCCCTAACCTATAAAATCAAAAAAATATTAATTAACAACAATAAAATAAACAATATAACATACCTGTCTGCGCCTTTGCAATAAGCCAAATCTACTTATCTAACCTATAAAATCAAAAATCGAAAATAATAAACAAAATTATTAATCAATAATTAACTTATTATTAATTAAATCAATAATCAATAGTAGAAAAAAAAAATTCATTATGCACCTGACTGTGCCGTCGTGGAAGATCCAAATTTTTTTTTGTAATACAAATAAAAAAGTTATATTCCAATATTCGAATTAGTATTTTAATTAAAAAAAAATAATAATGTGTAACCATTATGTTAATATATTGCCATTCGAGGGATGTGAGGTCAATGTTAGTTGGCAATGAGCAATGATCGGTCCTGTTTTTATCCGGAAGACAATTGACAGCTCGTTCTGACACGTGGAAAACTTTTGATTGTGGTGTGAGGGGAATTTTGCTCCTGGTTTCGTTTTATTAATAATCTCACTCGTTTAATCAGAATACAACTTCCTTTCTTAAAATTAAAAATTCATTGAGTAAAGTTCCCTTAATTATTTTAATTATTTTAAATAAAATTTAATAAAATCTCGATTCAATCTGACATAGTAAAATTTTTAATAACACCTAATTTAATAAATTTTTCAATTACTTTCATATTTTGTTTTTTAAAATCTAAATTATTCACGGCTTGTGCTGCATTGATAGTAAAATTAAGTGGTTTTTGTGGTGTACGATCCTTCCAACTTGTAAAAAAGGATTCCAGTTCTTTTGTCAATAATTTCGAATGTGTTTTATATAAATGTAATGTTAATTTATAAAAAGGCTTTGGTGAATACTTTGCAACAATCTTAAATAATTCAATTTCATTTAAATAGGAATCCCCACACAAAACTTCAATACCTTCTAATCGATGACAATTACTTAAAACCCCTATTAACGTTTCCGCCTCATTCCTCATAAAGTTGGTACATAATAATTTCAGATTTGAACAAAATTTACCTACTGCTAAATTTATTGAATTATTATTATTAATAAATCGAAATTTCTCCAAAGTATTTCCATTATTTTCCAAGAATTTGATGAGGTAGACTGGATTTATGGATTGATGTTTTAATCTTAAAATTCGTAAATGTGGAAAGACAACATGTTGTAACATTTTAAAATCTTCGTAACAATCATTATAATGATATAATATAAGTTCTTGCAAGTTTTCTAAATTAACGAGAAATAGTAATGATTCATCATAAACCCCATTGATATTTACTTTGGTTAAAGTATTTGAATGTTTTGCTAAAAAGGGAATTATTCTTTTCAAACTTTTACATAAATATGACTGATAGATTTTTATACTCTTTAAATTTTGCTGAACAGAGATCAATTCAGTTAATCCATTCGAAATGACTGATTTAAGAGTGAAGCTTAGTGATTGTACATTACGACATATTTGAGATAGTTGATAAAAAAATTCTGAACAGATATCAGAACAACAGCCAAACGCTGAAAGATTTTTTAAACAATCGATTGCTCCAGGATAAAAGGAAAATGTAATGTTTGAAATGTTACTTGATCTAATGACCAGTATCTTTAAAGAAATTCGGCTCATAAACATTTTAAATATTTCCTGAATTATTATTGCAAACTTGATATCGATAAGGCTTTCTGAAGCGAAAGGGTGATGATTTCTAAGGATACTAGAAATTTTTCTAACAATTTCATCAATTGAAAGACGTCTAAGAAACGATACATAATTGAAGAGTGGAGGTTTCAAGGATGGTTTCGTAATAATTTCATTGTTACATAAAGTTTCTTTTGATTCTTTGGGAAGACAATCAATTAAGGTATTATAATTCCAAATCTTTCTCCATAGAATTCTAACCGAAACTTCACTCCAAAGACGATTAACAAGCAAGCACGAATGTAAAGTAGCCTTGTCTTCCAATATCTCAAATATTTCATTTAAACAGTCGGTAGGAAGTTGGCGAGGCATTTTAATAAAACTATTTAATGAAAAAAAAAAAGGTTTTAAATGGAGAAAGGAATCGTCATGATTAATGTTGAACAATAAGAAATGGCAATTTATTGTTTGTAACTGGTGTAACAAATATTAATTTCAATTAAGTTGGATGGCGGCGATCATTATTTAAAACTTTTGTCAAACAAATAATGTTTTTTTGTAAATGATTTCTTTGAAGAAGAATTTACATAATTTAATAATAGGTTTTGAAAAAAAAAGAAGTTATCCTCGATAGGAATAAAATAATTTCGGAAACAATCCAAAATCTTTTTTAAAAATCACAAGCACAAATTGGATCATCAGTTTCTTTATAAGGCAATCCGACCCTTATTAGGACTTGCATTATAATAAATAAATCACATCAGAAGGGTTATAACAAAATAATACAACTATCATGAGTTCGATTTATTTAAAACAAAATATTGTATTATTTGTATTATTAGTGAATTGCACACACTTGACTCACTGTTTATCACATATCAATAACAGAACAATCTATTTATATTTTCATGGCACATTCATCCAATAAGTTCAAATCTAAACATAAGCAAAATCAGGTATAAATATGTATATATTAAAGAAATTCCATGTTTGAAATCATTGAACGAACGAACGTTTACAGGTAATTGCCAAACAAATAATACTAATTCTTAAAACTTTCCCCCCCCGTGAAAAGACCTTATTAACACAACAACATTCTTCCAAAAGATTTTCAATTACAAAAATGAAGTGATTAATTAATGAATTAGAATCTTTTAAGAATAATGCAAAAACGGTTTCATACTTTTTGAATCAAATGTGTAGAATTTACATGAAATTTACTTTCTTAAAATTTCGCACATATACTCTTCTTCGTAAACGAAGATATATACAATTAATTATATTGAAAAACTCTCCCGTGTGTCATGTTACATTGGCCATTGAGACGGCGATTAATTAATTCTGAATCGGATTTATTAAATCTGGTTGAACAAATTTTATCTACTATTTATTTTACTTTTAGAAATGTATCTAAATCAATTTTGCACGAACTTTTTTTGGTTTTTGTGGCATATTACAATTTTTTTAATCAATTTATACAGTTAAAAAAAAAAAAGATAAATTATTATTTGGTGATTATACATACAGTCGACCCCCTTGTCACACCTCCTATATGGCCACACCTCCCTTATAGGGCCGATGTTAATTAACTAATTTATAACTCCATTTCCGGAATGTACGACACCTCTTATATTATTCAATATGGGAAAACCTCAATGTCATGCACGCTGCCAAAGGAACCTCCAGGAGAAAGAAGCTTACGTTGCAAGCATGAAGGCTGAAATTCCAACAAAAAGACAGCTCTGGATCTGTTTGTATGAAATGTTGTGCAATAGACTAAATGAAATTTCTTCTCATCTCTCCCGTTATGATAATAGGTTCAGAGAACAACGAACAAATCACGAGAACCTTCGTTTTCATTGCAACCATATGCGATCCGAAGTAACACATCTGCGAAACCTTCTTAAGGTCCAGAATGTTCAAGAGTTGACAAGCCCTACGATACAAAGAATTTCAACTATCTGCTGACTCAACTTTCCCATCGAAGCAGGGAGTTTTGCTTTTTTTAACTTGTGATTTTATACGATTAATCGACTAATATTTTTTCAAGAGTCATACGCTTTTGTCGTAAATAAAGCTTTGCATAACATTGCTTTGCCTCTAAAAAATCTGCTTTGCTTTTCCCATTATAAATTTTCTACTAATTTATTTTTTAAAACGTAATGTCGTATATTGAATATCGAGAGGGACAAATTTCTATAAATTAATTAAAATCCGCGTTAGAGAAAAAATATTTTTATTTATTTGTAAATTTGCTTCCAAATTTTGCGACACGATGCAATTTTTTCCACATTTTTTTTTTGGCTTCGTAATTTTTTTTTTTTTTTGCCCACGTTTATCTTTTATTACTTGGCTTGGTAATTTCGAAAAAAGTGCGGAGTTACAAAACGAAACAAATAGATGGTTCATGATATTATTTCTCATTTCTATCTGGGTATCTCGGTATCTGAATAAATCAATAGGAACAAAACGGTTAAATCTTTGAGAAAGCTTTAGAGCATTGAATGGAGCAGATGAGTATAGATTTTAGAAATGACTATAGAGGGTTTAAACAGTTGACTAGCCAATTATCGGGTTGAAAGAAGTACTTATGCGAGATCTTTATCAGAATACGCTCAAAATGCAATCACCATCACCAAGTAATTTTCTAGGTTGCACTATATTACGATAACTCATGCCTTTGTTTATTTGAAATTTAACAATTATAAAAAAGTTATGCAATATCTTCTATACTAAACCATATTTTTAAAACAAAATCAGTTTAAAATTCCAAATTCGTGATTTGACATTAAAATGATAGATGGTAAAGTAAATTTTAATAAAAAAAATAAAAAATAAAACATATTAAATGAATGATAAAGAAATAGTTGGATTAAACAAAATCGATTAAAATGAAGAGAGCGTTTTATTTTCAAAAGTCGAATCGTATATTATAAAACTTAGCGATGAATTAGTTTTATAAATAAAGAAAACTGACACAATAAACAAGAATCTCGAAGTCCTAATTTTGGCTATTATTCTATGATTTTGAAATTTCGATATTACAAACAAATTAACGAGTAATCTAATTCGATTACACACGTACCTTCATTTAATTTTGCATCATGGATGTTTTAGGATGCTTAGGATGTTTTGGATGTTTTGAAGCTTGTGGATCTCTTCGAAGAAGCACATCATTTCCGTGTGGTGCAGCATTGGAGACTGTAGTATATACAGCTATTAAAGATAAAAAAAAAATATTAAAAAATGTTCTCTTGGTCTTTATTTTTGATATTGAGTAGAGTTTAATTTTAAAAAATTTTTTAATTATTAAAATTTTTTAAAATTTCTAATTGTTTGTATAAAGCTTAAGGCGTAAAATACTAAATAACAAACGTTGATAATTACATTATTAGAAGAAGAACGATTTTCCAATATCACATACGTCGAATTTAATGACGTGGAAAAAAATTACAAATCAATTATAATGATCATCATCATCACCCATTAGTTAGACAAATACCAAATAACAAGCCGTACATTTATTCAAAAAAAAAAAAAAAATTCGCTATATTCGAGAAATATATTTTGTTGATCCTTCTCGTCCTCAATGTTCATTAATATAAAGTGGTTCTCTCCTCCGTACATTATAAGAAACATATCAATCCGTAATATAACATAAGTCCAGTGCTTTATATAAGCGTGTTTTTCGATTGAACAAAATTGATTTCTTGTAAGCATTTTTTTTCCATTAAACTCATGGTTTTGTCGTCAGGATAACGATGAAAACTGAAAATGAAACGTATCACCGAAAATCTAAAATTTCAATAATCATTTGTGATGAAAGAACAACATTTTTTTTTTAACAATCGAACCTTTATTGATATTATATGAAAAAGGATCAAACGAAATAATGAATTCGAAAATTTTTTTTTTTATTTTGTTTGCATCGTTTTTTATTATACACTGGCATACTATGCCTTCATTGAATTTCCAAAACACAATAGTTGAAATGTAGATAAATGATTACAAGTCGTACGTCAATGAACAAATTAAATTATCCTACGTGACTAAGCTGTTTATTTATTCTCTTGGTTGAATAGTAATCAAATTATATCGAAATTTAAAGATTTGCCCCCATTCGACTCGCAAATATAGGTAAATCATCAACATACTGTACGTAAGATAAAAAAGTAGGACATAAAAAGTTCCGTCTCTTCACATTCACTTACTATGAAATTTTAAAAGGATATAAAAAAAACGATATATATTAAATTTTAAAAAAAAACTACTCAGAAATATCGTAAATACGGGCGAAACAAAACAAATATACAAGAAAAGAAAAAAATGAAAAGAAAAACTGCTACATGATATATCCATGTTTCAACCAAATAAACGGATAAAATATAACCCTTCGCTACTATCTATAAGAAAATCATCCAATATTTTTTTGGCAACTGATTACTAGAGGACCATTCCATTCGAGAATGCACAGGAAAAAAGAAAATAAAAAACACCTAAATCTTTAAATAGAGAAGCATTTGCTGCTGATAAAAAAATACAAAAAAAATATACCTCTTCTACAATCATGTTAAAAATTTCAATAAAATATTATATAATTTATAAAGCATTAATAGCGGCACAGCTGCAGAACTCTAATTCAAATTTGAATCTATAGAATATCATATTTTCCATTTACTCCATTTACTTACTCCCTGTAAAAATTTATGCAGAAACAAAGATGTTTGTAAAAACAATTTTATTAGGCCGAATTTGAACACACAACAAATTTTTTTAGTATCTTGAAAACCGTACGTACTGTACTCTATAATATTTTAACCGGTACGGAACTATTCTGTAAATTCGTCTAAAGACCTTTTGCAATTTCGAATAAAAAAGATTTGTAAGTACTTATAAATATAATTATTTCCAACAAATAACTCCTTTTCATGTTATAATAACGTCCACTTTACCGGAGGACGCTTTTGAACAATATCTTGGCAAATGTTGGAATTTCGTAGGGTTAGCATATTCGCCCTCAGGTAAGTTAATATGCTTATCTAATACTACGCCACATTTGTTAGCTTTCTCGCTTATAAACAATTTTTCGTCACCATTTATTTTATAATGCCAAAGTATAATAACATTTTTAAAATCAAAGAAATTCTATTTCGGTTTAAAAATAATAGATCAAAGAAAATACAGAAGAAATTTAATGTTATTATGATGTAATATTTGTGAGATCATTTAATTTATCACCTTAGCTTTAAAAACAAATCAACTAATCATTCATCGTTTGAAGGATTTCAGTTAGTTGACTATCTCACAAACGGAAGGATCGTTCCGGTAAGTAGTCTCTTACAAAATTTGTCTCATCATAAAAATTGAAGGATAGTGCTAATTCATTTAAACTATAGGCATTTTTCGAAACCCGTTTAGTTGCGAGGTGCGGATTTAAATAGTTTTAAATTTTAATGAAAGATTAGTAAATAACGTTTTTTTACCTGATTAAAATTAAATATTTTAGAATCTGTGTTATATCATTCCACTTAAATTTTGGAGTCCTGCATGGATAGGATAATAATTATGTCGGTATTACCAAAAGGGGCTTCGTCAGTTGAATTAGTGATATATATGATGCATTTTTATTGAAAAATCCCCAAACTGCAAATTTGTTGTTTTCAAACATTTTGAAAGTTGCCAAGTCGATGAAAACATATGGGGGCTAAGCTATTAAAATCACCTTACGGGACCCACCAACTAAAATTGAGATTTTTGATTCATATTATT